GCTCTGAGGGGGAACAAAGAAAGACCAAACAACAACAAAATAGGTAGGAGAAGGGTGTGTTATCTTGGAAGGGTTTGGCTCCATTCCGTTTAAGGACCCTCCTTCCCTCAGGGGAGAAGATATTTATAGTTTGGGAGTCAATGCTATGATGAAGACATGTCTGCCTTTGCCGCTACATGACGCAGGGATTATCTGAACGCAAGACCCTGTGCAGGTGGAGGGTTGCACGCAAGAAGCAACGAATTAAAGATTTCCTCTCATCTGAGATCCCTCTCTAAGAGAGCATCCCTATCTTACATACACGCTTTAAAATCAGCTGGCTAAACCCAATTCCTTATGCTGGTAGAGCTTGTTTTACAGAGTTACCATGAATAAGTATAGCACAAAATTACGTATTTAAAAAAAAAAAAAAAATCTATGTAACAGAACTCGCTCTTCAGCTAGTGGCCAAGCAAGTGCTGTAAGGGTACAGGATACACCTGAAAACTGACCCAGCAGGGCTGGGCTGTGCAATCCCAGACAGTCACTGTACCCACCCCTGCTTTTGAGCTGCGCTACCCTGGGCTCCCTCTCTGCCAGGAATGGTGCCACCAAGGCAGCTAAAGAATGCGTTCTGCCATTTTTACCTTTGTGGGGTCAGTTACAAAACACTTTGAGTTCACTCAGGAGCGCTGTAAATTACAGTCCTGCTGTTTGTGCCTCCAGCAGTACAGAAAACCCAGCCTGAGCTGCTGAGCTAAAACTACCCTCTACCTTTAGCCTCATGCCTTCTCCGCCCAGTTATAGATAACGCTTGCTGAAGCTGTTTATTTTTTAAGGGAGAAGTGACTTTTTTTTTTTAAATGTGTGTATAAAGCAAACATAGAAGGAGGCAAAAGATCAAAAGCTTTATTCCCAAAGCTGCAGCCACGTGAAAGGCTCACAGCAATGGGACAGCTGGGTGAGGTTTTACCCTGCAGCAAAGGTGAGGCACGGGGACTTAGTTTGAGGTATAGCATAGATTGAGCCAAGTCACCTTCTCTCACCCTGGCTCCAGGTTGGAGCTGGACACAGTTATGAGAGACCATCTGCCCTGTCCTGCCTCAGATGTGTAGCCAAACCCCAAAGCAGCACTGGAAAGCACCACTAGACCTCCTCCTTTTTGGCTACCACCATCCTGCCGAGGGGAGAATAAAATAGCTTCTGCACCTGGGATTTAATTTTTTTCTTTTCCTAGAGTGATTTCCATTCTATCATTTATGATATATAACTCCCATCTCTGGACAAGTGCTCAACAGCAGCTGGATTTAAGATACAATAAAAAGCTCCCCATCAATCTTCAAAACACTGGAATTGTTTCCAAGCTAGCAGCTGGGGCAGCTTGAGTGAAGAACATGGGGCTGAAGCCACAGGCAGCAGTCCTTACCCAGGGGAGCCTGAGCAAAAAGCAGCCCCTCCTTCTTGAACACCTGCTCTTCAGAGGGTTTTGTCAGTGCTGTTGTTTTTTATTAAAGTTTGTTAGTCTTGGCTCTAAACCATTCCCTAGTTGAAGTGGGACAAGCCCCAGTGTAGGGTGAGTTAGCCACCACCTCAGCTGTGCAGCATTAAGAAACCTTCACCTCTGTACTCAGCAACTAGTAACACACGCCAGAGTCAGCACTTCCAACCAAGGAACTGCCTGAGCAGCTGTGACATGCACGTGCTCAGAAGGGAGGAGGAGGAATATGATCTAAAGTGGAACTTTCTTGTTGCACAGGACAAAGACTTACCCTTCACCCTCACTGATGGCACCACCCCTAGAAGGCAGCCATGGAAACACAAAGATGAGCTACTGTTCTTTCACATACACAATATTCCTCTTGGAAAAGTCATTTTAACATTGCAAAACACTGGAAGAAGGGGGGCTTTTGCCTACTTCAAACACTGTTCAGGATGAACTTCATTCCTGCAAGGGCTTGGTCACAGTTCCTGAAGCCCAGTAGTGAGAACACACATCTCTTGGCAGAAGAAACACATAATCCTCCTTCCCACCCCCACCCTCCTTCACCTGTGGTGTGACAGGATTGAGCTCCGGCTCACACACACATCCACAGCTGCAAAAAGAGAAGTTACTAAAATGATATGAGCTATTATAAGGTCAATTCCCTTCCTCCAAGAAAGATGAATGCTACTGGGTGACAAAAGAACAAAATTCCACCTCCCAGCAGCCATTGTTTCATTGGTTTTATCCCAGTTTAATAGATGATATATCAGACTTGTGCAAGATAGATACCTCTAACACAAGGGGAAAAAAATAAAATCACAGCAACATATACACACAAAACAAGGTACACAAAATAGAGCTAAATTTATGTACAGGTTATTAGCAGCTAGGCTCTTAACTTCATTTAGTACATGGCTTTGCTTACTACAGTTTTAGGCACAGAGAAGAATTTACCAGTAGGATATTTGCTATAATGAGGGGCCACAATGAATACCTCGTTCCAAGTCCTCACTGGGCAGAAATTGGTTTATCTAATGAAGGTCTAACTCTCATTCCCACCAGCTGAGGATGCAGCCCTGCACAAGGATGAAAGAACATGATCCAGCTAATTGAGCATACTGCAACTTTAAATATTAAACATATAGGGTTTTTTTTTTAAATAGGGTTATGTTACAGAGTTATGAATAAGACTGAATTTCAATGAAACAGTGTCAGGGTTTTCTCTCCTGTTTGCTTAGCATGGACTCTGAGCTGTAAACAACTCAAAGAAGAGCTGGCAAGAAATGATTAGATGTGAAGATTGCTTTGTACACACTTCACATTTATAATGAAGAATTTGCTTTAACAGGCTTTAAAAGCACAAAGGTCATGAAACACTTAAATTTATTTAATGTTTTATTAATAAATTATGATGCATCATCCACATCTAGGACTCTACTCCAGGCTGCACTGAAGCAGGTGCTTGGTTGTATTTTCTGTGCTTGCTTGTCGTTCTGAGCTAGGACTACAGACTCTGAGCCCAGCAAGATAAGCCTGTGCTTTACTTGCAGCATAGGAGCAGCCTTTTTTGTTTCAGCAGCATTTCTCACATTTGATTATGCATGCTAAGTGCTTTGCCAGACTGAGGAATGGCCACATACTGTAATTACTGATTGCTTATGTATAGTATGCCTGTCACAATGAGCAACATGATCACTTACCCAGTGAAAAGGCTGAGAAGAATAACTACAGAACAGAACCAGCCAGATACCATAACAACACAATTAAAAATTTAAGCAGCAAGCAGATAATTAAAAAAAAAAACCCACTAAAAATTTTAACTTATGAGGCAGGTTGAGAATGATGCAAAGATTTTTTCCTTTGCAACAGCTTCATTTACAAGTGTAGCTCAGCAAGTCTGGAATACTTTATCAGAAGAACTACAAACTTGTTTATCACAGTTATGTCAGAGCTCCTCACTGAAGGGTGTGTCAGTTTCTATGATAGCCACTCCCCTCCTCTTCTCCAAGGCTTATTACTCAGTTTCTTGGGAAAAAGAAGGGGTTTGCTTGAGGCTTTAGAAAGTGCAGAGAACAAGTGAGTTTTTCCCTTTAGAAAAAAAAAAAAAAAAAGCACAAAACATGGAGAACTCTTAAACATGCAGGGATAACAATGAGAAATTTATAGAGTCTGGAGTTTGGCATGTGATTTTAAAATGGTTATTCTGGATGTTTTTAGGTGTACAAAAAGGGAATGAAGTTTTTATGTGGAAGAGCAGCTTTGCTATAAAAAAAAAATCATACCAACACACAAATATATTTTTGGACCGTCTTTAAAATCATGTCTGTATTGAACAAAGGCAAAATCCACCAACTTGGGCCATTCAGAAACAAAAGTGCTCTTACATACAGCTCTCTCCTGTAACTCCACTTAGCCTGCAAGAATTTTGGCTGTAGCTTCAGTTATGCATTGGCAGGGCAAAATGAAATAAGGCTGTGAACAGAGGATTATTAGGGCTGTCAAACTACAGGAAGATCAAATGACAGGTTTTAGAAGTAACAGAATTTAGGACTATTCAGTGTAGTACAGCTGTTGTTCAAAAAGTAACAGTTTCTTCACAGGAACCTTAACATAAAGGATAAGACTTTTGACATAAGGTTCTCGCATTTGGTAGACAGTTAACTTCTTCCTATGGCTTCTCCGCTATAAGATCATCACTGGTACAGAACAGTTGGGGTCACAGATTGTCAGGAGACTCTTTGGCTGTCGGTGCGAAAACCGGTGCATGGTGCATATCCTTGAGGCTTATCTGGTGCCTTTCACTGGACATGGAGGTTGCTAGAGCGTGACCAAGAAGCAGGTGGCCGGGAAAAAAGGCAAGACATCAAGTGAAGCAGCAGAGTCATGCAGTCACCCACTTAAAGCTGGGGCCAGTCTGTCGAGGAGAAGGTCAAAACAGAAACCACCCTCTGTGCAGTCTTGCGGAGTGGGGACAGAGCAAGGAAGCAGAAGACTCCACCACTGGTAGGGAACGAAGCCAAACCAGACAATATAAACAACAAAAAGTCAGGGAAGCATGCCATGCTGGCCAGAAATTTCAGTTTTTACATTATCTTGAGCTCCCAGGAACAGACATACACATGTGGGCAGGACAAATGGAGCTCTCTTTTTTGGCTTCAGAAAGAGCAAAAAGAATATTCGCTCTTCAGTTTGCTATGTACAACAATACTGCACTGTACACTTCATTGACAAGATGCTGTCTGCTATAGTCCAGCATCACTTAAATAAAATTCCTTTTAGTCACAAACAGCAACAGATGAGTATCTCTGTAAGAAGGAGAGCTGAAACCCACTGCTGTACATGGCCAAATGTGGTGCCAGTCCTTCTGGGATAAACACGAGTGGCCATTCCACAGTGCCTAGTGCCTCCTTAGCTTGCCTGAAGCAGAGAACCGCCCCTTTCTTCTTCCAATCTATTTGATCCCAATCCTGTTTGGGACTATTCTAGCACAAAGCCACGCTATGACTTTCCCCACATTGCCACAACATTTCCATCCAAATTACGCAGTCTCTTTCAGTAGTCCCAGTTTCCGAAGTGCCTCTCTCCTAGCTTCTTCTGTTGAGCCACGGCCAGAAAACTTCACTGTTATCCCTTGGGATCGAAATCCTGAAGGTCTAGGCAGTGAACCTGATCTCCTCCTCATATCCAGGTTTAGATTAGGTTGTTTATAATCATTAAAACTTCTTGCTGTGCTCTGCTGTGCTGGGTTCTGCTGTGCACTGCTGACCTTGTTAGCAGCAAGAGCTACCTCTGGTTTGATTGTTACAGTTTTGCCCGTAGGAAGGAAAGGGCTGGGCTCGCTTTTTAGAGTCTCATGGATGTTTTGATATCCATTGGGAACAGCATCTGCCTGTTTGGGCTGCGCATCAAGCTGCTGAGCGCTTGGGGCACGGTCCACTTGGTCCTCAGCTGGCTTTCCCTTAACTAGGCCAAGTTTTGTCAGGGCCTCATATCGTGTTTGCTCAGAGGAGAGATCCCTTAAGGATGAACTTCTGTTACGTGACAAGAAATCATTTTTCCGCAGCTTCTCCTCCAGTTCAGCAGCCAGAAAAGCTCCTCCATTGATGTTGGCCAGCACCTGAGCTCTCCGTTCCTGGACATTAACTGCAGCTTTTGAGATAGTCTCGTTGAACTCTTTGCCACTGACATTTGTTATGTTGATGTTGCTCGGGAACCGGTGCAGTTTGGGTGCAGGTGCAGGAGGGTGCTTCGGAGCTGCGAAACAATCACCATTGGCTACTGGGGTTTTCTTCCTGTCTGAATTCCCTTCCTTGAGGGCACTGGGGAAGCGCACCCTGCTCTCCATCTGCTGCTCAGACATCTTCTGGGCCATGATGAGCGGAGTGGGGATGGAACGAAGCAATTTTGGATGCTGCACTGGAGGAGGGGGTGGAGGAGGAAGAGGAAGCATCTCCGACACTGGTGGTGGTGGTGGTACAGGGGGATGTGGGGGAAGATCAGCAGGTGCAGCTGGCTTAGGGCTCTCAGTTCTCCAGGTAGCATCCAACACTTAAAAGACAAAGCAGCAATAAATCTCATTAAGTCTTCACACAGAGCAGAACATAGGGCTTTATTTTATCTAGGAGTAGCAAGCATCAGCACTCCCCTCCCCCAAACTTTCTAGCTCAAACTCAGCCCACATTGGCAGAAGAAACTAACTGAACTCCTAGCAATGGCATCTTGTAGGTGACAGTACCATTCAAATCGACATATTTACAATGTGTTCACTAGAAGACCTCTTTTCACCATTCATTCACAGCTTCCCTGTGTTTCAATGGCTGCTTTTTCTATAAGTTTTGCAATTCTTATTTTTTTATTATAACAGCCAGACACATTACATCCCACTGTATGTACCAGCTGATAAATCTGTTCTCCAGAAACAGAGAGAGCAAACTCTACAGGGTGAAGAAAACAACATGCAATATACTATCTTGTCACAAACTTCCTGATAGGATCGCATGCCTTTCAGTCCCACACAAAGCAACATAATAAACTATCTGCTATCTTAAAACTCTTAGAGAAAGCCTTAAGAGGTCTTAGAGAGAAGTAGAGCATGAACACATTGATGAACATTAGTCTGCCTTGCTGCAATGACTCTGCATAATACTCAGTTCTGCTACAACTCAGTCACCAGGTAGGGGACTGAGACAGCAGTCCAACAACTTAATTATATGCATGACCTCCATGGGGAAAAAAAGAAAGTTACAGTAACAGCAAGAATTTCAGAAATCCTAAGTCAAACTAAAGTCACAGTCCTTAGAGCTCCTGATGTGTAACAGATTCATCTTGAGGTAGTAGGGAAGGCACAGAATTTCTTTAGCTGTTTCTAATGAGAACTGGAATATGTCAGGGCTAGGTCAAAGGGAAAAAAAACCCCACACTTTCCAGAAATACTACTACCTGGTTCTGCATCTCTGCTAGGAGGGCCTTCATGGTCACTACCCTCAGGTGTTGACTGTACTAAGTCGATTATATCTTCAGTCTCTGAATGACTGGACACATTTTCTTCTGTTGACCTTGGAGACTGACAGTGGATGCCACTGTCACGTAGAACCGGCTCCTCCAAGTCATCTTCTAAGGCATCTATGGTCTCCTCAAAGAACATGAGAACATCCTGCTCTTCATGAGTTAGGTATTTCAGACTCTCATCATCCTATGGGGAAAAAAAGAAAAAAACTGGAAAGATTAACACCCTACAGGTGAGCGCAGGTAAGTACACTGAGAGCAAACAGCACTCCTTTTCGAAGGTCAAAAGGGGCAGGATGGACAGGCAGCAGTCACACCAGAAGCATCTCATGCTTGCTGTTTCATCCCTTCCCAAAGAGGAGTGCAGCTACTACAATGCAAGAGGAAAAAAAAAAAAAAGACGGGAGTTTGCAGTGCATTAGTTTTGACTAAAGAACAGCAGCTGGTATTTCATCCTTTAAAGTACCTAACTTTAGTGCAGCAGACAAGTGTCCATTTGAGCTGAACAGAACAAATTGCTGAAAGACTAAAAAAAAACACCAACCCAAACCTGTGCCTTTACAAGGGTTACAATAGTTTCTTCAGGCTCCAACCTGGAGTAAGGTGTTTCAGCTGCTGTGTCAGGTTCAGGGACAAGACTTGGGGAGCAGCATGGGAGGGAAAGGGGGCATTCAGGACAGTCCAACAAATAGGTTGATTCCCTCTTTGGTCTAGACCAATGTGAGACTTGGCTTCTCAAGGCAGAGCTGGAGCTGAAATCTGGCTCTACCACTGTAATCCCTGAGTTATCCAGTGTTACATGGTAGATTACAAAGATGTAATAATAAGGAGGAGAGGGTTTCTGAAGATTTTACCTTTGAGTTACAGAAAGGCAATATTTAGAATAAATATGAAGATGTGTCACTGGCAGTACAGTGCCCTTGGTTATTTTTTCCAGCAGAAGACAATCCTGTAGACCACAGAAGTGATAAATAATCACTTGGAGTATCCAGTCTTCATTTTTTATGAGTCACTGCTCTTGACTAACTTGATTAACACAATATCGCTATGAGAAGCTAGGCAGCAGCGTGCAAACTCCTTTCCCTCCACCTACACCCTGGGAAACACTCACTCTTCCAGAAGCTTGGAGATGACAAAGAATGATTAAGAAAGGCACTACATTAAGACAATGGATACAGGAAAGACATTTCCCAAGAGTAAATTCTGGAATGTAACTAACTATTGTTGAAAAGTAAGTGAGGTTTTCCCTTTCTGGATTGAATTTCTCTCCCAGCATGTGTATAACTTTGCCAGCAGTAACTTAATAAGAAGATACCAGCAAAACAATACAAGACAGTTTCCTTTCTCATCTCTACTTTTTTGCTTCTCCAAGAACATCTGATTGTGCATGCAGGTAACAAGGTTACTTCCCAATGGAGGACTGAGGAACACATAAAGATAAATCTCCAAGAACATCTGATTGTGCATGCAGGTAACAAGGTTACTTCCCAATGGAGGACTGAGGAAATTTAGGTAAACACAAAGATAAACAGTGCAAACATCCAGGAGGTAGATGTGTTCTTGCTAGGGCAGCACAACTTGCTTCAAACTCACCATGCCTGTTCAGATCATCTTACATTAGATTGGAGCAGAAAAAACTGTGTGCAGCTCTACCTGCTAACTCAACTCCTCGCACAAACAAAGCTTTTATCCCCATCCCCAGCCTTAAAAACAAGAAAAATGTACCTCTGCAGAAAAGTAATGTCTATAGATTAAGAACTATGAAGTGCTGCACTGAACCGAGTGGCAGTTAGTCCCTAAGCACTCGAAACACTACAGATGGGAAAATAAATGCTTTAGGGTTCTTAGCTGCCTTCTCCTACATGGCAAATGGAACATTTTCCCTTTAAAAAACTGAACAAAATGCACAAGACAGATATACAGCCTTTCAGCCACTCTTAGTTCAGACACTTCAGGGCAGGTTCGCTTACCTGTGGCTGCAGTCCTGTGAATGCTGCAGTCTTCAGCCACAGCTGGCAGAGTTTTCTGTTAAAATGGAAGACTAAAGTCTTGCAGGAAAATACAAAGCTGGTTTCAACCAGAGGCTCATGCTACAAATACATTTCTAGAGATTCAGATTTATTGTCATCAGGGTGAACATGGCTTGATGGCTGGGGAACATGTACAGAGGTGTGGGTACTCCTAACAGTCTTACCATCCACAGTGCACTGTCAGAATAAGGAACTTATTCCAGCTTGCAGGAAAACTGCTACAAAAGGTTAAATATGGATACCATTTTCAATCGCCTATTTAAAGCACTAGCTTCAAAGGCTGACGTATTCCACAGCTTGCACCCACCGCATGGCAGAACTCAGTTTTCAAAAGCCAAGGAAAGTTTCACAGCTGCACTTGAAAAGTAAGAGACAGACAAGCCTTTTTTTTTTTCTTAATGGATGTTGCAATCTCCTTCCTTCCCCACCCAAATACTCATAGGGCTGCTATGTCTAGTGGGCAAGAGAATGACAGGAAAGGAGCTGTTGTTAGGTAGGCCCTAGCTGGAGCTGAACAGGACTCCAAGCAGCTTTTGTTGCGGGTGAGCTCATTGCAAGAGCCAGACTTCCGCAGGCAAAGGAAACAAGGGGGTTGTGTTTGAGACATTCGTGGTGGCGGCAGACCCAGAGTGCAGCACAGTACAGAAATGACTGCACCACGCTTTGTTCGTTTAAAAGAACAATTGCTTCCACATAAGCTTAACTGCTTTGATCAAGAGCTGAGCAAGAGAGCATGTGAATTGAAGCAAAAAGACTTTCAGAAGCCCTTCCTTCCATCCATTTCTGTGCTGCAAGACTGAGCACTTTTCCATGCCAGGTAAGATTTGCAGGAGGATCAGCCAGCAGAGCTCTGCCTGACTTATCATCCCACATGGATCTTGCTGAAATGTGCAGTCTCCATTTAGGTGAAGGATCTGAAGTGACTAACCATCCCTTTGGAAATACATTTGTAGTAAATGGCATACCTAGATTTGAAAAGCCAACCTCATCTCAGTTAGCACTTTGATCTCTTTCCTCATGCAGTTTTCCTTCAAGATGACCAATGTCACATTACCTCAGGACAAAAAAAAAAAAAAGGACAGCAGCTCTAGAGAATAGGCAGCATTACAGCAGGTCACCATACTGAGATGCAAAGCATCCAGCCTGGCTAGACACTCCCTCAGGGAAGGCATGTTTCAGTTTGAGAGATCAGGAAATAATCCCATTTTAGACACACAAGCACAGTTAAAATAAACTTACCCAAGTTGGTCAAACCAAAGGAGCTCAGAGGGAAAGCAAGCAGTGACTTGCTTTACCACTGCTCTGAGAACACTGGTGTAGTATAAAATGCCCACTTGTATTATTTATATTTTAGTAAAGCTTTCAGAAAGACAGGAGGAATTTTTTCTTGTTAATTGGTGCCAGTTTTAATGAAGTTACCAAGTCTATTTGTAATTAGTTCATTTTCCACACGTTCCAAGTACCAGAACAGTTCATATTCTTCCTGGGCTGGTTTTCCAGGCCTCCTGTCTCCTTGAAAAACCTGGGTTTTTAACAGGCAAAGCAGAGTCTTTTCAGCTACTCAAGTACTCATACTTTCCACCAGCTCCCTACTCTTAATACACAAACACACCTCCCAAAACTAAATCTCACATACACCCAACACTCTCAATGTTAAAGCTACTGTCAAAAGACAGCCTAAACCTGAAACTTTAAGATTGTGCCTTAGCTACAGATTAAAAAGACTGCTTGGACAGAGGAAATTTGGGATGCATACAGCTGAAGTAACCGAGTATGCTCAGCTGGCAGTAGTATTTTAGATTCCTGTGCAGCCAAATATTTCCTGCTTACACCAAACAGGAAAGAGCTGGCTCTGATGGTCTTTGGTATAAAAGAGGGAAAACAAGTTAAAAAGAGAAAAGAAAAGAAGAATAGAATCTGTTTCATAGAAAAGATCCCTTTCCTGCCTGTCCAAAACAGTAACTTAACATCAGAGACCCATACTTTTTTGACATGCAACTGAAGAAATTCTTAACATCACACCCAGGTTTAGAATCTTAAGACCAGCACAGCTTTGACAGAAACAGAACAGCAGGGGAAATCCCAAGACACCTGCAGTGGTTAAGGCAAAACCAAAAACATTCTTCTGAAAACTGCTAGAGAACAAAATGGTACTACCCATGGCAAACAGTTACAATTCAATTAGCAAAACACCAGGAGAACAGCGGGTTCAACCAATTCATCATCAGTCCCTTGACAGTACCAAAGAATTAACAGGCATGGTTCCATGAGAGAGAAGTGACTGGATGCTTCTCAAAAAAACCATGAGGGGAGCAAACTATTCTAGTATCTACAAAGAAGAGACTGATGGAGCACCACTTAGGCCTCATCCTGCTAATAATAAAGCAGCAGCTCTACTTGTAAAAAGAAAGAGGGGGAAAAAGAAAGCCCTGCATGCAGGAACTACCAGAACAGGTACAAAAGCTCCAGCACAGAAGAAAAGGGCAAGTACCTCTGATTGTATTTACAGAAAAGGGAAACAGAATGGATTGTACTGCTGTGTTGCTTAAGTTGGAAGCAACTGAATTACAGAAAAGAACAAGAACTACCATGCAGGATCAGACCAAAAAGGCAATTTAGCTCAGCAGCCTGCCTTCAGCCACCAGTAACGCACAGAACAGGGCAACGGGGTTTTCGTTACCATAAATTGCATGGATGTATATTTTTCTTCCCCATGTCCTTCCAGTTTCCAGCAATACATGGCTTAAGGACTTCCCAGTTGCATCCGCATCTGTGTACTTAATAGGCCTTAATGAGCTTTTCTAGCATGAATTCATCCCATTGTTTAAGCCCATTTAAATGGCTGGCATTCGCAGCATTCTGTGGCAATGAGTTCCAGAGTTTAATTGTGTGCTGTGTGTCAAAAAGCACTTCCTTTACAACCCACTATCTGATGATTTTGATAATACCATTTCATTTGGTGAAGAAGACTATAATATTGAATGTTGTTTTTCTTCAGTTTATTAACTTAATTGTACCTGTGGGCTTCATAATAGTTAGCGAAGCATATAATCAATAGGTCATAAGCAAGGAAACAAATTATCTAGAAGTATTAAAAAAATAAGCTACATTAACTGAAGTCAAACTGATTAAATTACTCCTAACCTACTTTTAAAAA